ATTCAGTGTGAACCCCCTATAAGAAACCCTCCTTGAAGGTCAGTACGTTCAGTATGAATCCCCTACAAGAAACCCTCCTTCAAGGTCATAAACCCTCCTTCAAGGTCATTACATTCAGTATGAAACCCCTACAGGAAACCCTCCTTCAAGGTCATTAACTTCAGTATGAACCCCCTACAGGAAACCCTCCTTCAAGGTCATTACATTCAGTATGAACCCCCTACAGGAAACCCTCCTTCAAGGTCATTACATTCAGTATGAATCCCCTACAAGAAACCCTCCTTCAAGGTCATAAACCCTCCTTCAAGGTCATTACATTCAGTATGAATCCCCTACAGGAAACCCTCCTTCAAGGTCATAAACCCTCCTTCAAGGTCATTACATTCAGTATGAATCCCCTACAAGAAACCCTCCTTCAAGGTCATAAACCCTCCTTCAAGGTCATTACATTCAGTATGAATCCCCTACAAGAAACCCTCCTTCAAGGTCATAAACCCTCCTTCAAGGTCATTACATTCAGTATGAATCACCTACAAGAAACCCTCCTTCAAGGTCATTAATTCAATATGAACCCCCTACAGGAAACCCTCCTTCAAGGTCATTAATTCAATATGAACCCCCTACAGGAAACCCTCCTTCAAGGTCATTACATTCAGTATGAACCCCCTACAGGAAACTCTCCTTCAAGGTCATTAATTCAATATGAACCCCCTACAGGAAACCCTCCTTCAAGGTCATTACATTCAGTATGAACCCCCTACAGGAAACCCTCCTTCAAGGTCATTACATTCAGTATGAATCCCCTACAAGAAACCCTCCTTCAAGGTCATAAACCCTCCTTCAAGGTCATTACATTCAGTATGAATCCCCTACATGAAACCCTCCTTCAAGGTCATAAACCCTCCTTCAAGGTCATTACATTCAGTATGAATCCCCTACAAGAAACCCTCCTTCAAGGTCATAAACCCTCCTTCAAGGTCATTACATTCAGTATGAATCCCCTACAAGAAACCCTCCTTCAAGGTCATAAACCCTCCTTCAAGGTCATTACATTCAGTATGAATCCCCTACAAGAAACCCTCCTTCAAGGTCATTAATTCAATATGAACCCCCTACAGGAAACCCTCCTTCAAGGTCATTAATTCAATATGAACCCCCTACAGGAAACCCTCCTTCAAGGTCATTAATTCAATATGAACCCCCTACAGGAAACCCTCCTTCAAGGTCATTACATTCAGTATGAACCCCCTACAGGAAACTCTCCTTCAAGGTCATTAATTCAATATGAACCCCCTACAGGAAACCCTCCTTCAAGGTCATTACATTCAGTATGAACCCCCTACAGGAAACCCTCCTTCAAGGTCATTACATTCAGTATGAACCCCCTACAGGAAACCCTCCTTCAAGGTCATTACATTCAGTATGAACCCCCTACAGGAAACCCTCCTTCAAGGTCATTACATTCAGTATGAATCCCCTACAGGAAACCCTCCTTCAAGGTCATTACATTCAGTATGAACCCCCTACAGGAAACCCTCCTTCAAGGTCATTACATTCAGTATGAACCCCCTACAGGAAACCCTCCTTCAAGGTCATTACATTCAGTATGAACCCCCTACAGGAAACCCTCCTTCAAGGTCATTACATTCAGTATGAACCCCCTACAGGAAACCCTCCTTCAAGGTCATTACATTCAGTATGAATCCCCTACAGGAAACCCTCCTTCAAGGTCATTACATTCAGTATGAATCCCCTACAGGAAACCCTCCTTCAAGGTCATTACATTCAGTATGAACCCCCTACAGGAAACCCTCCTTCAAGGTCATTACATTCAGTATGAACCCCCTACAGGAAACCCTCCTTCAAGGTCATTACATTCAGTATGAACCCCTTCCACAGGAAGTTATCACATTCAGTCTGAGCCCCCCACAGGCGACACAGTTTTACAATGTAATCACACTTGTCCTAGGTAATGTATAACATGTTTTGTTACCCATAGGCTTATAAATAGTCAAGTTCACAAAAATAGTATGAGCACTGGTGTAAACATGACGTCACGCACACCAGTCTATTGTTCACCTCATCTGGACAGCATGTGATGACAACATTCCAATGTTATTGTGGTGTAAGGTTGGAATGACGTCATAGCTTAAGATTGTTCATGTCATTCAATAATTGTGGTTTTCTAAAATGGCTGTCTGTTTTCTAAATGGGAGCTCAAAAGGATAAAGAAATAATGGGTAATAAAGAAATTATTACACTTGCAAGTGTGTCATACTGTTCAGAGCTACAGATAAGCAGCGTATTTGCGTAAAATACCCCCAAAAATATTCAAAACCTAATTACTTTCAATAAACTTGCATACAAAAACGCATGCACTAAGTGAAAATCTCAAATAAATAATAAACCCAATAAAGCTTTTCCAGCATGCGTAGAAAGGCGCTAATTTCCGGAACACAATTACGAGCTAATTTACTTCCCGAGTCGAGTCTATATATTTTGAACAGTTATATACATCTAAAACATTTTTTCATTTTTTTTAAATCTTAAAAGTTCACTTATTTTGGGAAAAACCCAATACAGTGATGAATAGATGAGTGACAAAATATTAGTTACCCAATGAAAAATGTAATCATGGTAATAACCCAATTAAAATAGAAACCTGGAGTTAGAACTCAAGTGCTCAAAACGTTATCTGGAGTTCTGTTGTTTTACTAAATTTGTGTAAGCATTAATGTATTACCCTCGCTCTTGCTCAGGAAAAACAAGAACTCTGACACTTTTTCATAAAATCAATGTGACACACATGCTCGCATAATAATCTCTATATCTAAGCTTGGGAAATATAAATAACATGAGAAATGTGCTAAATATTTGGGAACAATGTTATTGAATATACTTTACACTTTTTTGTTATGGTACACATGAGATATTATATGTAATATATTTCTTGGGCAATTTCAATGGAGGGAACAGTTTTCAAAGTGCACTTGCTTAAAGGGCAGTTTCAATTACTAGATATGATTTTGTTTCTAACAACCTTATATAACGAATATTTTCAATACTTCACTGGTTAGAATACACTACGTTCCTACATCACCTGTGAACACATACAATCTACATGTGGTGGTGACGGTGGTGGTGACATGTCAGCTTATGAAACGAGGCTGTGAAGAACTCAAGGAGGTCAAACGAGACCAACTCCATGAATGAACTTTGTGCGAAGTGTACCATTGAATGTGCAGCAATGTGTGCAGCAAATGGCGGGACATCTTTCCAAGTCACGGGAGTTAACTGACTTTAGAAATCCAGTTTCCACCCTTGCCGAACTAGGGTGGAACTAGGCTGGAATTACTGGGCTCGATCGTAGCGCCACCAGTGACTATTACCAGTTACGTCCCTTTTAAGCCTCTCCTATGGACCAATCAGATTCCATCACTTGCGTTTGCTTCACACAAAATTGTGGCCCCCAGTCAGGACGATCTGTTCAATAATCAAGATAAAACAGGTCTTACATCGTGAAATACATCAAATCATTTAAGCACCTTGATTAAAAACATGAAAAGATTTGGAAAATATCTGCTGACAACGAGTTGGCGGTGCACATGCTTTGCAAATCCTGCAATCGATCAAAATCTGCACGACAGTTTACGAACCGGATTTCGATTTCAGTGCGCAATTTTGATTGGACTATGCATAGACTCGTTAGTCCAGTCAGAATGTAACTCCATAATACCAGCAAAGTTTGGCAAGGTTGGAAACTGGACTTTTATAGTCAGTTAACTCTCTTGCCTCGGGAAGATGATGGCGGGAAGGCTGTGCTGCCTTTTGTGTGATGTTATCTGAGTGCTTGATGGTCTGAGCACCACCCTCTGGCCTCCCCCTCGCTGTAACCAGGCAGCATACTGATTCACTGGTTAAAAATAGTGACTGTGCAGGATTCTGTATGTATTCTATTCTCAGGTGATGGAGGAACTTAGTATATACAAAACCGGTGAGGTATTGACAACGCATAACAAACATCATGAAACACAACTAACCATGGCAGTCAAGTCTAACAAGGCAAGGAATATGGTACTACACCAGACTAGTTTATTACAACACATAATCCTCAATGCTGTGGATTGACATAACAGGAGGAATAGTCTAATCTAGGAAGTATCAAGCATATCAGATAAACAATCTCATTAAAATCAGGTCCTTTATTTTGATTTGATACCTCTCTTTGATTCACTTTAATCTCAAGGTTCCCATCAGGTGACCTTTCTTATCAGCTAATCAGCATGGAGGTTCTTAAACTTCTGTGTACAAGTGAGTGAAGCATTCATGGGGGCTATCTGAATTTCAAGAGCATCAAGAACAACATCAATGCGAAGTTCCAAATGGAGAATACCCACAGTAACAATATCTTGAAACCAGTAACAAGTTTGTGAACATCTAAAATTTATAAACTCCATTTATATCCAATCAATACATCATGAACACAACTGAATAGATCTACAGTAAAGACCTTTCATTTCTGACCAAAATCGCTGAAATCTGTAACAGAGGATATAAAGAAATTAACCACAATGGATTGTGTTGACAAAAGAATGAAGTAGATAAAAAACCCATGTCTACGTCATCTTGACTTCACTCAGGATCCCCTGACCTGGGCCCTGTTCCGAAAAACCACTTAGTGCAAAGACAATCGTAATCCTATGCTTAAGCGCAGGAGTTACGATCACCTTAGTGCTAACATCCCTATGTGGAACAGGGCCGTGACCTACTAAAGTACCATGAAGGGTTTGTCAGGTCTTGACAGAGGGAGGTATTAAATCAGAGTAAACAATCTGATTTTAATGAGATTGGTCAGTTAAACAGTCGGTTTGCTAAACATAACACAAAATAGTCTGTTTATGAACAGGGAAAAAAAAAGATCTCTACAACTAGGCAGGTATAGTTGTCTCTGTGTCGGCGGCCTACAGGGAAGAAGAAGCTGACAACATCCAGAAACCTACCTTGGTATCCAGCAGCTTTGGAACAAAAACAAACTACATGGTCAATCCACAGTATACATGGTCATTCACGGGCAGACAAGTGTGCCGCGATCAGACTGGCTGAAACACATGAGATCCCTCCACAATCTGATTATCTAGCCTGGTTTCTTCAGTGAGTCAGTCACCTTTCTCCTGATTGCCTACCCATCCTTGTCTCACCTGTGAACCTTCTATCCCCCTACTGCCTCCCATTCCCCTGGCTTGTGTTTCCTCTACATCTGTCCCATCAATTTCCCCCTCCCCTTGACCTGGTCACGCCTGTGTGTTCTCCACCCCCATCAATTTCCCCCTTCCCTGACCTGGTCTCACCTGTGAGTCTTCCCCATCAGTTTCCCCCTCCGCTAAACTGGTCTCACCTGTGAGTCTTCTACCCCATCAGTTTCCCCCTCCTGCCGTGGTCTCACCTGTGAGTCCTCTACCCCATCAGTTTCCCCCTCCCCCGACCTGATCTCACCTGTGAGTCCTCTACCCCATCAGTTTCCCCCTCCCCCGACCTGATCTCACCTGTGAGTCTTCTACCCCATCAGTCACCCCCTCCCCTGACCTGATCTCACCTGTGAGTCCTCTACCCCATCAGTCACCCCCTCCCCGACCTGATCTCACCTGTGAGTCTTCCCTATCAGTCACCCCCTCCCCCGACCTGATCTCACCTGTGAGTCTTCCCCATCAGTCACCCCCTCCCCCGACCTGATCTCACCTGTGAGTCTTCCCCATCAGTCACCCCCTCCCGTAACCTGGTCTCACCTGCTGCAGGGCCTCCAACACTATCTGTCTGTTTGTCTTCAGTGTCTGCAGCTTGTGTTCGTACAGCTGACGTTTACATGGCACCACAGCCATCAGGTTGAAGCGAATGTCATGGTAGGGTTCCCTGTCAACACACCACAGTTCAGTATCACCTGGATCTCACTACGATAACACTATCATGTTATGTTACTTATGTAATACCGTATTTTCTGGAGTATATGTACACCCATGTATAATGCCCACCCCCCTCTAGCGGATTCAATATTTTGGAAAAAAAGAAATTTGAATATTATGCGCAGAAAGAAATTACACCGTGCCCCTTCAGCGAAGTCCGGCAAACGAACGGGTGATGAGAAACTTTGTCAGTACAAATTCGAAATTTGAGATAAAAAATCACCAGACATGTTGATTTACCGTCTAAATTTTTTGTTCTACTAGGCATTGTTTATATCCAGGGATTAAGACTACCTTGTGTATTTTCTCGTAAACTAAGCCGGACACAGCAATCAGCTGTACACACGTTTTCTTGGAATCTACCGGTGATTCAGTCAAGACACACCCAATGATATAACTTTACAGTATTTTAATGCAAGGATCGGCAAAAATTGTATCTGAAACTATTTTTTTATCAGGAATAATATATTCCAATATCTTGTTAATTTAGATGCAGCTTTTACTAAACATATTTAAAATAATAATAACCCTAAGCAAAGCAGCTGATCGCTATTGCCGGGTATTATTTTTTACATGGAACCAGTCTGACCATTCACCGTCAAGGCTCCCGTGCACGTGATCGCGTGATCGCGAGAATTTCGTGATGACATAGAATCGTCCAACAAAAACAAATATGACTTTTAACAATTCAAAGTATGGCATTTATGATATATGTATCCATTCTCTGTCAACTAAAGTTCCTTTCAAGGCGTCAATAGCGGTAATCTGACCGTGGTTGCTGTTAATAATGGTGAGTTGTGCGATCTTCCGACTGCTTCACACACGATTTCGCCGAAATTAATTAAAACAATATTAAAAGGAATTTCGAATAAAATTAATGAAATAAGTTACAAACATAAGTCCAGATATACAAAGAACACTTTTTATAGCCAGACAGTGTAATTACATGAATAATTTGCGTACTTCAGTATGGATTTGTTGACATGCTATTTCCGGTGTTACGTGCTCACGGTAATGTCTTTCCATGGGGGGAAAAAACATCAAAACTCATTAATTTGTTTATAATGCACACACCCTTCTAGACAGCTGTGTTTTTTTTTAAAAAGTGCGCACTATACTCAAGAAAATACGGTATTGATGTCAATAAACAGGTTCATCTTACATCACCCTACATCGTTCTGCAAGCTGAACAATATCATTGAATTTGCCATTTAAAATCTATAGTACAAAGCTATTTTATAGAATATTAGAACTTAATAAGAAGTTTTTCAGGAACATTTCACAATATTTCCAGCTGCCATGTTATATTTTTGAAAAGATGAAATATTTCTGACCAGACACTGTCTGACTCACCCGCCTGTTGCCATGCCCAGTCTGTCGATGATGACGGAGCGGAACTTCTCTGTCCAGTACTGGTTTGACTCACACGGCCCTGTTTACAACACATACACTCGAGCTGTACCCTTCATTACATGCCTGATGTACCCAAATAACAAATACATAATTCTCCTTTTTTTAAAAACAGAAAACCAACCACTTTAACGTTCATATAAAACAAAAAACTGTGGGCCTTCGTTCTGCTAGAGATAGTTTTGGATACAGCACACCGATTTATCTGAATTCCAAACTAAGGACTTGTTTTAAGTTCACAGAACACTTCAAGACATCAGTATGACTCTGATGTGAGGGGTATTGTTATTGTTTCCTTCTGTTCACATGTTGGTTTGTTTGTTTGTTGTTTAACGTCACACTCAGCAATATTCCAGCTTTATGACGGCGGTCTGTAAATAATCGAGTCTGGACCAGACAATCCAGTGATTGATATCATGAGCATGGATCCACACAATTGGGATCGATGACATGTATCAACCAAGTCAGCGAGCCTGACCACCCGATCCCGTTAGTCGCCTTTTACGACAAGCATAGTCGCCTTTTACGGCCAGCATGGGTTGCTGAAGACCTATTCTACCCCGGAATCTTCACGGGTCCTGTTCAAGTGTACAGCTACTCACAAGACAACCTGAACAACACATAGGAATAGGAACGTTTTGGATACAAGGATGAGAACTACCAACCATGATCGATGGGATATGGCTTGAGGCCATCGAGCTCAAACAATCGGCCGTTGATGGGGACGTAGCTGACGAAGTGGAAAGCCTCCATGGTCTTTGTGGTGGAGATTCCTGGCTGCTTCTCAGGGAGGTGTCTTGGCTCGGGTCTGCCAAAACAGCATGTGAATGTCAGTCGAAATCAGGATCTTACTTGAATTACAGACACAGGCTGAACATGCTTAACTGGCCACACTTGGCAAAGGAAATGTAGTGAGTGAGTATCACTAATCAAGCCCTATGACAGAAGTGGCACACCTGTATGCACATTGTCCCTGGTTTGCTGCATGAGAAGGTAATGCTTTTGCAACTGCAGCCAAAGGAAAATTGAAGCAACAAGAAAACACATCAGTGTATAACCCTGATGATGATGATGATGATGATGAGAGAGTGGGTATGGTTTACGCCGCTTAGCAATGTTCCAGCAATATCATGGCGGGGGACACCATAAATGGGCTTCACACATTGTACCCATGTTGGGAATTGAGCCCGGATCTTCGGCGTGACAAGCGAACGCTTTAACCACTAGGCTACCTGACCTCCCCTGATGATGATGATGATGATGATGATGATGATGATGATGAGTATTTTATACATACATCATACATCACGGAAACTAGAGCACTAGCAGACATGGTGGTTGGAAACAATACAGAGCTCTCAAATGATTGCAAATAACCACTGAACAATACGTCCATCATGTCCATATATCATATGTCCATCAAGCGGAGGAACATTTCATACAAACCCACTGGCAGTCCTAGTAAGTTTGACCCGAGTCCTTCAAAACCCATGTTCCTTGCCTCAATTTATGATGCATATTAATCACACAGTTAAGAGTACTTTAATGACAACCATCTTCCTGAGCCAAGGGCATTAACTGACTATAAAAGCATAGTCCAATCAAAAACATCCGATTTGTAAACAGATTTCAATGTGCAGATTTCAGTCGACTGCAGGATTTGCAAAGCATGTGTACCACCAACTGGGCATCGAGAGATATTTTCCAAATATTTTCATGTTTTTAATCAAGTTGCTCAAGCTATTTGATGCACTTCGCAAGATAAGACCCATTTTATCACAATATAGATCTTGATTATTGATCAGATCGTCTTCACTTGGCACTGCCATTTTGTTTGAAGCAAATGCAAGTGATATGTGTGGAATCTGATTGGTCAATAGGAAGGCAATAGCTACTGGTGGTGCTACGATCAAGGCTGGAAATCCCAGCCTAGTTCGGCAAGGGTGGAAACTGGACTTTTATAGTCAGTTAACGCCCTTTCCTTTGGGAAAATGCTAGGATACTGTTTCAGCTTCACACACAGGACTGATAATACCTGGACCAACACAGGAAGTAGACACTCAACTGTTGATCACAGTCTCCCAATAGGTGAGGTGAAATGGGGTTTAACGTCGCGTCCAAGATTATTGCACTTATATAGCGACGTGCATGTACGTGTGTGTGTTTGTGTGGCTGCTTGTACTAGTCCGAACTGATGCTGATTTATAGTGCTAGCTCACTGAGATACCATGCCACAGTTTAACATGAATAACCCCTCTCAGACACAGTATACTGACTCAAAGCCGACCAGTCCTTGTTTTAGCCCCTTAATGCCGAGCGCCAGACAGGGTAACAACAAATACCTTCTTTTAACGTCTTTTGGTCAGTCTCCCAATAAGGTTTGTCCACATGAGTCCCTGTCATGCTTCAAAGCACTGAGGGAGAGGCACCGCCTGCAACACCGCTGAAGGACAATTATTTCTTGTCTATTATTTACCTTGCATGACTGTTGTGAGCTCGAGCCAGCTCTGGCATATTTCCTATTGCAAAGCCCTTGTCCTGTAAATAACAAAGTAGTCATCAATATTTGTCAATCATTTGAGGTTATTGTCAGAGGTTACAGGTACTTTAAACTTCATAGACAGATGTGGTCATGCACAAAAATATTTTCCAAAACACATCAGGATACTCTTCCATGAGAATCTTCCAATCATAGCTGCACATGTTAAGACAGGTCTGCTGTAACCATGGTAACAAGACACACATGCCTTGCTACTATACGAACCTCTGGGCTCATGTTGGTTGTGAATTCCTTGAACTTGTCCAAGGTTTCTCCCAGTTTGACCTTCCCTGAGTTGAGCAGCACACTCAGCAAGGCATGGGTGGCACAGGAGTTGGGGATGATCTGAAATGTTATAACCCAGAGTTACATCTGGAGCTGAGTATCGCCTGGTATCTTGCGATACTCGATAACACGATGCGGACTGACGATACTACTGGTATCATGATACACCACATCAAATAGAAAGAAATGATGAAATAAATGAAAAACAGCTAAAAAACCTCTTTCTTCTTACATTTATTATTGACATCTCAAAAACTTTAACAAAGAAAACCACAAGAACTAAACAGTTTTAAATGAAGTTTGGTTATTAAATGTAACAATTAGTTGGCTCGTCCTCAGCTACCACATCCTTGTGTTCTGCCAAGCTTACGCATTACGTTAGGCTTCTTCTGCCATTAGGGGAGGTAACTATTAGTTACTGACGATGCAAATATTGTGTGTACCTAAGTATTAATGATATCGTAGGTATGAGTGAATCATTACAGCCCTGGTTACATCCCTGTCATTACAGGACCTACAAGCACAAGCACAAGCACCACACAAACTTCAGGCTGTTCACAGTAACACAACATAAGAACCTTCTGACAAAAGAGGAAAAATGCTTGATAGATTCAGGAAATCTTCTTTCAGCATGTTCTAAAGGACAACTGTCCAATTCAATCCTTCTCAGCAGACATGTTAACATCATAAACATGTTGGTTGTCTGTTTTTTTTAACTCGGCTTTCAGCAATGTTCCAGCTATATGACAACAGTTTGCATAATCGAGTCTGGACCAGACAATCCAGTGATTGACATCATGAGCATTGCTCTATACAACTGGGATGCGATGACATGCATCAACCAAGTCAGAGAGTCTGACCGCCCGATCCTTTCAGTCACCCCTTACGACAAGCATAGGTTCCTGAGGACCAGTTCTAACCTGGGTCTTCACGGGTCATAAACATGTACATCATTGTACATCTATAAATCTAAACATCATCAGGAAGTGAAGAAAAGTGAATGAAATTTTATGCCACAGTCAACAAGTTGCAGTTCAGCTACATGTGGACAACCTGTGTCTTATCAGTCATTAAGTCTGGGTCAGATAAACCAACACTGATAGCATGAAAAATCATCCATGCTGTCATATCAAAACGACACCAAAACGGCCAAGTCACACACTGTTACAACCAGATGCTCATTATATTCGCTTCGTACAACAAGTTATAAAGTTGTCAGAAGCCGATTCTGACCCAGAATTCACATCTTCCCCAGGCAAGGGAGCTAACGGACAATAAAAGTCCAGTTTCCACCCTTGTCGGACTAGGCTGGAAATATGGAGTTATATTTTGGCTGGACTAATGAGTCTATGTATAGTTCAATTAAAATCACGTAATGAAATCAACATACAGTTCATAAACTGCTGTGCAGATTTTGGTCGATTGCAGGATTTGCAAAGCATGTGCACCGCCAACTCGTTGTCAGCAGATATTTTCCAAATCTTTTCATGTTTTTAATCAAGGTGCTAAACTGATTTGATGCATTTCACAATGTAAGACCCGTTTTATCACAATATAGATCTTGATTATCGATCAGATCGTCTTCACCAGGTGACGTCATTTTATTTGAAGCAAACGCAAGTGATACGAGAGGTGGAAATCTGATAGTCAATAGGAGGGACATAGAAGGGACATAACTCATAATAACCACTGCTGGTGCTATAATTGAGCCAAGAAATTCCAGCCTAATTCAGCAAGGGTGGAAACTGGACTTTTACAGTTACTTTCCTCCCTTGCCTAGGGAAGCTGAGAATTTCAGACACAGTGAGAAATACAAGCATATCAATCAAGTAAAACTGAAGAAAGTGATCACCTGCTTTGCAAAGAAGATGCTGTTGACTGCGTTATCATCCATAACACAGGATTCATCTTCTGTAGTTGTCTTCCTCCGACATCTCCGCTCCTCAATCCAGCGAAACAGGAAGATAAAGCCATAGACAGTCCTGAAAAATGACAGAAATTATTATTCTAGTTTTTCATTACATGACCAACAAGCATGAAATACTCATATCCCCCACCAATGTGACATGACCGGTTGTCTGGTTGTGTGCAAGGCAATGTACGGTTTCAAGATCTGTTCCGGAAATGAGCCTATCACCATTTTTAATCTAAGTCAAAGTCGTTGCTATGGAAACTATAAAAATCAATTTTTCCACAAAAAAAATCCCAAACTATCAAAAGGCAACAGTTCACCACAAGACCTATCTACATGTATGTGCCAAGCTTCGTTGAGACATCTCTCATGGTTTTTGAATTCTGCTCCGGAAATGAAACGTGATGGAAGGAAGGAAGGAAGGGCGGACGGACCGGACCCATTCCTATATCCCCCTTCAACTTTGTGGCTAGGTATAATAATACATGTATAATCTGGACAGAATATTCTCAGCATCCATGGTGTCCTATTTACATAGTCAAAAGCAACATATAGACAAGGTTGTTTTTGTTTTAGCTTCAGCAACTAAATAACATGTTTCAGTAGGTGTACAAAAATCATTAATTTTTTTAATTATTTTATTTCTTTTTGGAGTACAAAAATCATTAATGTTCATGGCTCCATTTTCTGTAAAAAAACACACTTTGTTTCGAGCTAAGATATATAAATGTAAGTTTAAGATACCGTCAACAGAAGAATAAGTTATTCACAAATTTGGCAGAATATTTGCAAAGTGTATATAGATCTAATAAATCATATTGTAAGAGAGCCAGTAAGAGTCATCCGCATTGTCCACTGCATAAGATGAGAAAGTTTGAGTCAGTACAAATATTTCTTCAACAACCACTAGAACATCCCTATCGCCATGTAATGTCCAGCTACCACCTGACCATGTTGACATGCCTGATGTCCATAATGGAAGCCTGCAACAAGGTGAATTAACAGATCGAATGATAAGGCATGGTGACTTGGATGATTCCTTGTCATCTTTCCCTGATGGAATGGATTGTTGTCCATAAAATCAATCACTGTTTCTTCCTGGTCAAGACCAGTTTACAGGCCACAATCAAAAGGTGGAATAGTGCTGAGTGTGACGTTAAACAACAACAACAACAACAACAACAACAACAAAGACTCAAGGGTACAAAGGTTCAGCAGAAGCATGTCATGGACTGATGTGACTGTCTGTCTGTATACATTACCCATCAATAGGCTTCTGCAGGTCATAGATTTCTTCCACTTGAATTCCCTTCACCCCTGAGAAGAAAACAAAAACAGTTCAGTAATAACCTAGATATTAGAATGAAAGTATGTTGCAAACTTTCTATTTTTGTTGACTTATTCACAGTATGTATACCGGTACAAGAACTGTACAGAAATATAACCTTTGTTTGTTTGTTTGTTGTTTAATGCCACACTCAGCAATATTTCAGCTATATGACGGCGGTCTGGTAAATAATCAAGTCTGGATCAGACAATCCAGTGATTGACATCATGAGCATCGATCCACGCAATTCTGATACAATGACATGCTTCAACCAAGTCAGTGTGTCTGACCACCCAATCCTGTTAGTCGCAAGCATAGTCGCCATTACGCAAGCATGGGTTGCTGAAGACCTTTTCTACCCCGGATATTCACGGGTTGCAATATAACCAATGAGAGCAGTTGTATTATTGTTATCTCAAAATAGTATGCCAACTTGTGAAAAATGTTTTCCTTTTCAAAAATGGATGACCTTTTTACTTAATTTGCATGTTCTTCACAGCCTAGAGTGAGCAAAAGACCCAATCATTTTAATCATTTGACAATCAACATTACTAATTAGTCAGGAGAAATATTTATCATGAGGTTTTTTGCAACAAATCATGAATAATTCAACATCAATAGTTTTCTAAACATCAATATTGAAATATTTGAAAAATGAAAATATGGACTAGAGTGCACACAGTTCTATGATAATGATATTTGCTCACCAAAGTCTTCCAGCAACAGGGTGAATAAACCTGAAAAATACAGAATTACTTTACTACTGTGAGGTAATTTTCTTTTACTAGTACTATCAACAGAAAATAAGTGAGTGAGTGACTATGGTTTCACACCGCTTTTAGCAATATTCCAGCGGTGGACACCAGAAATGGGCTTCACATTTTGTACCTATGTCAGGAATCGAACCCGATGTCTAAATATTTCAGTGATTTTACAAACTGTCTGAGAAATCTTATTTATCATGTTTTTTTCACAATTTGACTAAAAAGTTTGAGAAGTTCAAAAGGGCTTAAAAACACCACAATAGACAAATAATCTTAGGATTAGAAGCTAAAAAATATAGAAATGTACATTGGCTTTCATTTTCTTTTAACCCTACCATTTTCAGTCACTAGGTGATGAAAATTTACATAAAAATGTTTGGAATTTGTTTTCACAATAAAATAAATGGACCAATTATTCAGTGAATTTGTAAAATTACTGAATATTTAGCATGTTTAGGTGTTTAATAAATTGCCTATGAGTAAATTTTAGTCATTTTTACACAAAACATACATATGATATAGACACGATAAAAAAGCAATGCTCAGGTGAAATATTTAGTTTGTGTTACAACATGGACAGGTCAAACAAGTGTAAACAAAAATTGCACAATACCAAGCAAGTGACTTATCAAAACTTCGCCACCATTACTGATGCTACCCCCAAAGATACCTAAATTTCTTATTATTTGCATGTCAAAACTGTATTTCATTTTGTTGATCAATGTAACGATATGCCCTTTCACTATGAAAAAAAGCAATAAATGCACTAACAGTTGGTGCAGCACAAGTCGTGAACTAGTCGAGATTTCTGGGATATCATCCAGGTACTCATGGGGCAAAAAAACAATAACGAAGGCAGAAACCAGTCGTGGTGAATTGTCAGAGATCATTGCCCCATTAATCAAGCTTACTCACTCACTCGCCATTGTAATTGCTGAACTAGTTTCTATGTCTACATTATATTAGTACACATAAATGCAGTTATCCCTGACAATAAAATTGGTGTACAGGTGTAAGTAATTTAAATTCAAAAATTCAAAAATTCAAAAAATTCACACCTATAGGCACATGAATACATGTCTATTAATGCTTTGTTATAATGGAAAACCTTGATTTTTATGAGCCAATTGCAATACACTTAAACTACAGATATTTTCAACTCTGCTATCATGAAAACTGGTTGGGGCTATTGCACTTGGCCATAAGTAATCATTTACTTTGGATAGTTGTTTAATAAGAGTAATTATGATGTGGCTCCTTGTGCACTCCATGGATTGTTCCATAAATCATAACCAGATAACCAGCAAAAGAAATTGGCGCTAGTCCTGTAGTCCTTGCCAAACTGCCCAATAGTTAAGGTATCATAAGGACTAGTAGATATTTGCCATTTTTAAGGGATTTGCTATATGTTATCATTATAAGGACTAGTAGACTATAAACTTAACCTTATGGTTAGTTAAATGATAACTAGGGATAAGATAGTAAAGGGAGGGAACAAAAGGAGACCCAAGGGGTAGGAACCTGAGTAGTCTGTATCTCAGACCCTAGAGAATAATTTAATAAACTAGAAAAATAGAGTCCACCCCAAGTCTAGAATGACTGGGCAGGTCTAGATTACCTCAGCTCTAGGTTCTGGGCTCCATCTTGATTTTTTCTTTTTATATATACATATATCTCTAAATCTAACTTTATTTCTTGGAGGAAATGTCAATCTAGGTACCTAAGAAGTGAGATTGTAAACTTGATCTGGAAGAAGAATGCCAACGGTAATCTACCCAAAATAACTGAACAATGACAATTCAGCCTGAAATAATGGGCCTTAATTCAGCCTGAAATAATGGGACATTTTTCAATATTCTAACCAACACATACACAACATACAAGTTTCATGAAAAATAAATAAATTAAAACGTAATAATCTATTTCTATGTCTATTTCTATCTGATCAAGCGGTAGTACAATATTCGGCCAATATTCTATTCAAGCACTCAATGGTTACATTAGATGTATGTATTCAATTTGAGGCATAATCGTCTTCATGAATATTTGATTATCTAAGTCCAGAAACACATTACCTGGGTCACTTTCCAATTCTAACCACCCTTTGTTCATATTTGCGCAAATATTTAGGAATAACTGTTGTTTTTCATAGCTTTGGCATTAAACGGAAGTAAGGAACAATTTCCCGTAGATAACAAAGAGCTCCGAAAGGGAGATAATTCGCGTTTTACTTTGTATTTTGGATAAATAGTTGTTTAACTGTTCGTCTCGAAGAGGATCTAGGTTCAATACTCAACAAAAGCACATTTATTTGTTAGGCCTATTTTGGGTCTACCTTGTTTGCACTATTGATGAGTATATCGCGTTAGAACCATTTTATACTTTCTATCAAGGTAAATATTGATTATTGATGAAATATTACATCATGATTTGGGTCATTTCTTAATTACAGGAAACAATTAAGTTTAGTCTCTCCAAATGAGACTGGAATCTACCCGATACAGATAAACCGAACATCAATGGAGTACGCGCGTTATTACGAGAAAGCAGTTTATTAATTAAAAAAAATATTTTCTACAGAAATTTGATAGTTTTTCATCATTCCGATGTGAAAAAGGAATTTTTAGACAACAAATGTTAGAATTAAAGATCAAGCAATTGCTACATCAAAGTAAAAAAAAACCCATGTATATAAAATAACACAAAGGCAGCTTTGATGCCGTCTAAAGAGTTGTTTTTATGTGTTTTGATTGGACATTTCTATTACAAGATCATCAGTGTGTTTTAAAATCTTTGATGGGCATCTAACCGTTGGAAAAACATGAAGACGTGAAACTGGTAAGGATTAAAACCTTGTCCGAATCTTTGCATTTTGTACCGAATACAATACATTTCCAAAGTACTGAAAGCAACTCATCCTATTTACATGTCCTACTCGAGCGCCTGGTGACGTCACTGATTTTCAGTGAAACATTCATATAATTTTCACCACTATTCTGCTTTTCATGACCAGTGAAATCTGTTTCGGCAGATAATCTAGACTGGTTACTCTCTGGCGTTGTTTTATATTTCTGTGTACACCGCCCAAGTATGTACCCTTGTAAACTATCCTTAGAGAACAAACAAGCAATTAATAGAAGCAACAAAAATAGAAACAGTGTGTACATACAAGTCCCTTATATAACGTCGATACGAACATCAGGTATTTTTCAATAATGTTTTGCAATATTTAGCATATTCAGCCCTAATGAGGAACGCGTAACGCTCACTGTATGTACAGCGTAAACACGGCGAGTTCAAACAGTCCGGAAGTTGTATTTGCATAACGTTATTCGGGCGAGGCGTTCTTATGAAAAAGTGTATGTTGTAACGCGAGACACGATAGATAACGATTTCCCAGAAGGGTTCAGGGGGTGTACTACTGTAGATCTCTGTATACACATGGGTGAAGGTTTCTAGTTATGGCTTCATGTTATGTTACATGAATGGTGAAATTATCTGGAACTCACACAATGAATATATTGTACGCGGGGTATATAAAAGACCTTACTCTCTTTTTGTGCTTGATTTACGGATCCAACGACCTAAAATAAATCCGAAAATTCAGAAAAAACAGTACATCAGAATGACTAATGTTTTTTATACCGCTCACCTCAGAGATCGCTTTGACCCAAAATAATCCAAGGAATTTCAAGGATGAAAAGTCATTATTATCATTATTACCTTACTGATCCAAATCAAAGTTTAAGATGATTAAAAAAATATATGTTACAATGCATTTTTTCAAATTAATTGTTTTCGAACTATCGACCAAATTTGTCACTATCAAAATATGTAAACCAAAAATCGATCTTCACTGATCGATACAGACAGGGTTAAACCTTTGGATCCTTGGACCTCTCAGTACACGTGTATCGAACTGGATCCGTAAAGACTTGTGCACGTTTTAAAAAAAAAAGAAGAACATTATTTTTGTCAGCCCGGTGTTATGTAGCGAACATAGGGCCGGTTTGTGTAAAAAGTACCATGACACCTCGAGATGACACAGGAAATCACGTGACTCCTCTAAGCCGGGTCAATCCTGAAATACATCACTAAACAAGGTACGTAGCTTGACAGGGCCGTCACATGTGCACCGTCCACGTGGCCACGCTGCAGCCCCGCTCAGGTTGTGACGCTCTGGTTATGTGGGTGAAGCGTGTGTTAGAACGTTTCATGTATGTACATTATAACACATGCAACCCAAGACAGTTTCTTACATAAGGCTTATATGAGACACTGATGAAACACTAGAACAGGGGGTGTTGAAGGGGTTAGGCCATAGGCGAATCCAGAGTGTGGGGGGTGGGGGTTTGGGGTAGGGGTGGGGGTTGGCCAGGAGGTCCAGACACTCCCACTCCCCTTTGAAAACCAAATGTAGTATGTTGTAGGAAGTAAAATTATCTGAGACAGGATTTTGATATTTTGGACCCCTCTCTTTTAAAAATCCTGGAGCCGGTTTGTAAGGCCATGTATGTATACTTGCGTAAAACTGGCAGACATACACGCAAAAATATACGCATGCATGCATACGCCGACGCACGGAAGGACGGACGGACGCATGCACGAACGCACGCACACATGTATGGTGGTGCATAGTCATTCTACATAAGTACACACATACAGACACACTAATATGCTGGCATTAATTATAATAAATACAAAGATTTAATATAAAGAACACAACGCACATACTTATGCATTGTATGTCTTCCTACACAAATGTATTAGAACATATCACATGTAGAGTTGAATAGCGTAAACGTTTTATATAAGGAAAACTACACGTTGGCTGCGAGTACATTTATGTCAACAGTACCCGTGTCCTATTATTTTAAGGTCAATGATTTTCCCCAAATTATCTAATAACAGGCCTAGATTTCTTTATGCCAGGTTAATATTTTCATCTCACACTTCGAAATATAATCACGTGAATAATATTGTTTACACTCACATAAAAATGACATTTACATGGATACCTGCGGTGTTACATTACATTCTGTTCACAGAAGGTTATAATAGCAAGGTTCTTAAGTGTATTTTTCTGGCTCAAGTCTAGGTGAACAATTGACTTGCCGATGCATGTGTTTATGACGGGTGCCACCGGAGTGGCAGGATACGCTCACCTTTTCGCGAACACCTGTTATCATCACTATTTGATACCGATTCATAAGCACATGCTAGTGATATAGTCGAAATCGTACAATCGACTGTGCTTTTGGCAGAGATTTCTTGTGAACATGGAAAGGGTTTTGTCGTTTACTAGAACACAAAGTGCACCATAGCACAACAACATATATGTATCCTTGGGCATATGTAAACCCTATGTGATGTCTTCCCATCTCCCTCAGGTAGATTCTGTATCATCAATATGTGTCCTCCAGATGCCTTTAAAATGGACCGCCTCCGTGGTCTAGTGGTAGAGCGTACGCCCGGAGAGCGGAAGGTCCGGGGTTCGATCCCCGACCGCGTCATACCAAAAGACGTTAAAAGATGGTACTTGTTGTTACCCTGTCTGGCGCTCGGCATAAAGGGGCTAAAACAAGGACTGCAGCTCGGAGTCAGTATACTGTGTCTGAGTGAGGTATCCATGTTAAACCGCGGCATGGTATCTCAGTGAGCTAGCACTATAAATCGGCATCAGTCCGGACTAGTACAAGCAGCCGCACAAACACACACACGTACATGCACGTCGCTTTATAAGTGCAATAATCTTGGACGCGACCCCATTTCACCTCACCACCTTTTAAAATGCAAGCTCTGAGAAATGAAAGTTAACTTTAAATATGTTGTCGTTTCTTTAGTGAAAGTAATTTTTCTTTTTTCTTTTTAAAATCGTAAACAAAAATACATACGAAAGAAGCACGGAAACATATGGCATAAGTCAAAATAGAGAATTAGATCGGACATAATGTCAGTCAAATTATGAAATGTCCACCGCCTGTCTACCATTAAACATTTTGAAAGCTATATCGAGGGCTTGAATGTTGTAACCTTGATCAAACAACTTTTGATCAAGTGTCGTATGACGCTCTTTGAAATCTTGTAGAAAGAGCATGCTCGGTACTAATGCATTGTCACAGCAAACCGATAAAGTGATACTGGAGAAATAATCAGTATGCTGATGATGTCGATGACACATTCTCGCAACACATTCTGGGTTGCATCCCATGGTCCCACGGGGCAGCTCCGGACATAAGAGGCTGCCCTTATAGCATTGGTAAACATTTCTGTACGCTGAAGCTTGTGCACGCTGTAGTTGTTGAAGCTGGCGTGAATTTGGATCGGGGACTGCATTGCGTGTCATTTTATCCCGAGCGTTACTTTCTTTCAGTTGCTGTTTGCCTGGTCGAAATTCGATCTTTGGCGGGCCGCCTCAGTATGGCTGGATTGTTATGAAAAATAAACTTTCTATTTTATAAGCATTCAAATAACTACAACAGAGTCTGAGACATAGATGGAATATTTTACCAAAAAATATAGGTCCAGATTTTTAGACGTAATTTGAAGTTTTCGTTACGCTATCCACGTTATGCTGTTTTTCAGTATATCAACTACACAAGTACAGTATATGGATGATAATGATTTTCAATGAAAGTTTGACGGACATATATCATGGTGATTTTAAGGTTAGCCTACCAAAATCTGAAGAAAATTTTGGAAGAAACGCACAACGATATCCATGTGAAAGTTAAGATTAACAAATTTATAGATATTAGTTATATTTATATTTCACTTGGAGCCACAACCGTGCAGGTACACCGCCTGTGCCCATTTGTGGTAGTCAAGCAATGTAGCGCTCCAACACACACAGACACGAGCACACAAGGGGAAGGACGGACCCTCGGACCATCGTGTGTTGATACCTCTTCTTGTCTGTTTAATCTTGAACAATATACACATTCTTTTCTTATCGTCATTACCTTAGACAAATATCAACATAGTAAATATACGATTCTCACCTGCATCACTTATAAGACATAATCGTCACGATATGGCTTAAATATTGCCGATGTGACGTTAAATTTAAATCACTCACTCACTCACTATAAGACATAACATTTTCCTTTGCACCGTTTATGTCCCCTGAAACACATATTTTTCCTTGAAAATAATCGCTCGGCATCTTGATCAATAATAATAGCGTTCTTTTGCTTTAACGGCAAAGGTATTTGAAAATAACGCGTACCTTCTAAATCGTGGCAATATTTGCCTGCCACTGTTCCACGTACTAGCACGCATCTCGTCCAAATCAACGTAACCTCTTGACATCATATGGCAAGTCTAGAAAGCCCTCTATTCATAATCTAACATGGGTAATTTCATATACATTTCTCAAACAGTGATATATATTGTAAGGATTGCAGTCCTAAAACTTGCTTTAAAATTTATGCAGTGTAACAGTAGAACGAATATCTGGTAATATCTAACATATTTATTCGACATGCTTTTCATACAGTACTCTAGGCGGTATAGTTTCCAGAATCATAACTTCCGGATTAACGAATCCTAGTTTTGAGTAATATCACATTTATTATGTATTACGTCCTGAAGCAATTCCCTATTTTGACTTCTACCACATGTTCCTTTTTTCAGGTGAACATTGAACTTGCCTTTGCGGGTGTTTTTGACAGATGCCACCGATGGGGCAGGATACGGTCACATTTTCGCAAATCCTTGATATCACCATTATGTGATAGTTATTCATAAACACATGCTTATCATTTAATCCGAACGTACAATGGACTCTGCTTAAGCAGAAATATTTTTACACGTGTACACAGTAGACGTTACAAGATAACATATCGTTTTAAGTTTCAACAAAATAAGTATATGCGTTTGGCCTGGATTGTCTGGTCCATCTCTTGATTGTCTGATCAAGGCTCGATTGTTTGCAGATTGTGCTGTCAAACGGCTTATGTCATAGAAATAGCATACTATCCTTTTAGACATGTCGAGGAGAAGGGCATGCATGTACACATTAATTAACTAAACTCAGGTTTTATATATAGAAAGTTTACATATGACAAGATATGAATAAATGAATACTGAACAATGGCTTAACGAACTGTTATAACATGTGGCAGGGAGAATAATTTACGTTCTAACATTTTAAAGAGATTGGCGGCTAGAATATTACATAAGACATTACATGGGCTCCGAAACATATATAAAACACATTCCTAACATTGCCATTTCAATAAATAGTTCATAAATACGACCAAAGCCACAGTGTCACGATGTTACGGTGCAATACATTTCAGTGTACATACTATTGGCGATAGTAACACGTTTAGTAATCTACACAGTTTCGTACCACCGACTTTACACAGTAAACTGTTTGACGTGTTTGTCATATTAATATTAGCCATGCAAATAAAGCCGCCACACTGCCGCGAATTAGGACAACAGATATATGTTGCATATATATGTTGCATATTAGTTGGAGATTTGCTGGTGTTATTTAATATCAGCCAGATTCCGATCAACTTTCAAGAGGCGGACGTAGTGTATACAAGCCCATGAAGTATAGACGATGAGCTTCGACATGATGTCAACTATATTAAAGCATCGGTGCCAGGTCACGTTGGCTCTGATGCCCATATTTAGCAACGCCTTAAAAAAACATCACCCACACTTCAACCACAAAGGACGCTTTGTCATTATGTGATGGTAATACGAATATAGGATAGTGAAGCTTACAGTGTCTTGAAACCCACATTCACAGAGACTACTATGTTATAAGTTACTATGTGATTCAGTCTACTATGTGATACAGTCTACTAAGTGATACAGTCTACTATGTGATACTGTCTACTAGGTGATACAGTCTACTATGTGATACAGTTTATTATGTGATACAGTCTACTATGTGATACAATCTACTATGTGATACAGTCTACTATGTGATACAGTCTACAAGGTGATAAGTCAACTATGTAATACAGTCTACTATGTGATACAGTCTACTACGTGATATAGTTTATTATGTGATTCAGTCTACTATGTGATACAGTCTACTATGCGATACAGTCTACTATGTGATACAGTCTACTATGTGATACAGTCTACTATGTAATACAGTCTACAAGGTGATAAGTCAACTATGTAATACAGTCTACTATGTGATACAGTCTACTACGTGATATAGTTTATTATGTGATTCAGTCTACTATGTGATACAGTCTACTATGCGATACAGTCTACTATGTGATACAGTCTACTATGTGATACAGTCTACTATGTAATACAGTCTACTATGTGATACAGTCTACTATGCGATGCAGTCTACTATGTGATACAGTCTACTATGCGATGCAGTCTACTATGCGATACAATCTACTATGCGTTACAGTCTACTATGCGATGCAGTCTACTATGGGATACAGTCTACTATGTGATACAGTTCGTGATTGGCTGATATCTCAAGTATCAATACCATTGAACCTACCCGTGTATCACCCATGTAACAAGAAAGAAAGCTGGGTGAGTTCACAATTTTTTATTCAAATGTTATTTCATTGTCATTTATGATTATCAGTCATTTTCACTTGTTTATCATCAGTGGACCAACTGCATCCAGGCACTGAAGGGGTGTCTCTTCACGGCGATGAAGCTGTTCCTTCTCTCTGTAGACAACCTTCCTTGGTGGCGGTTCTGCTCCAAATTGCATCTGCGCTAGTTTCGCTCTCTCCGAAATTTCTACCTTCTGGATCAGTTCGATAAATCTGAAGATGTTTGGATGCTTGTGCTGGAGGGACTTGCCGATTCTGGAGTGGAAACCTTCTAGTTTGTTATTTGTACGTGGCCCTTGTGTCGCATGGTTAATCCACAGTCGAGGTGGGAACCGGGCATCGTCATCCACCCATGTCGTCCTGTACTTAGTTCTAGGAGAACTTGTGGGGCATCTTTCTAGGGCAAGACATACTCAACTTTCGTAAGTCCGGCCATAGTTTAATTGGACGAGGCTGAAGCTCATGTTCAAATATATTTATATGTTATACCATACTCAAGAGAAGGAAGTATTAGTGATTGAGAACATTTGGTATATTCTTACACAAATCCCACAACTTGTTTAAAGGTAATGTTTGAATAAGATTTGTGATGTACCGGGAGCAGATTAAAGAAAGGAGGAGTTTTTTTAAGACAATGTTGTTGTTTCCCACTACTGCTCATTGTCTCAACATATTGGTAATCCCTCATAGCAGGGGAAGAGGACCAGTCCATTCATTAATTAGGTGTGACCAGCATGGCCCAATTAATTAGTGAGCTAATTTTAACTGCTGTTTGGGAGGTCTGCATTTTGGAGGTCTACGTTATGGGAGGGAACCTTTCTGATTGTGAATGCCATCAATAAACTTATTATGTAATATGATATTCCTAAATTCGAAGTTTAACCTTCAGTTGATGCGGTTACCCAAGTGCTAAAAAATAATTTCACGTTGTTTGTCAAAGCTTTGTGAAAATCACAGAAAATCTTTCTTCCACCTCTGAATATCTTTGAAATCTATTAAAGCCGCGTGCATGTTTACAGCTGATTCACGGTCATCGTTGACTGATCAGTTTGGAATGTATTGTGTTAAGGGCAGGGAGAATTACATCAATTATCCGTCAGGCAAAGAGTGTTTGTTTGTGTGTTTACGTGAAAATAATAACGTTTGTGTAAGAAAGGCTTGCTATCTGGGATTGCATTCTTTTAAATCTCTTCTATTTCATTTCCCCATTATAGCGAATTATTTACCCGTTTAAAAGTTTTACGTGATCCTAGTTCCCACAAAACTATCCCCAAATTAAACAAAAAAAGACGTATTTTTGTTCGAACGCCGAGCGGACAATGTTTTTTTTTCCGCGGCACATCAGAAAGAATGGATTGTGATATGGCAGGCATACAGTGGCGTCGATTGTGTATGGCCACCGGTGCTATGTGTTAACATTATAGCAATCTAGTGAGCAACACATTATGGCCAACACGAAACAACGGTCCTGTTTGATTCTAGCACAAGGAATTTTGACAGACATGAGCGAGGACAAACAACCTGATACCTTTACAAACATGAAGCCCCGATCCTTCAGGGCCGTTAACTCGTTCCACATCTTCGGAAAACATTGTCAGTTTGTTTTTGTTCACAGTTGAGACCAGGTTCTCTCAGTCAAGGAGGACATTCGACTAGGCGGAGGAGACTCGAGTTGGTAGAGTAGACGCCTTCAAACATGGTTCCAGTCAAGATCGTTGCCCTGTTCCTCTGCCTCGTCGTTATTGCAGAGTGTCAATGGCGCACTAATAATGGCAACTTTCCACAAAGTCCCTTTGTGAAAGGGGGCAGGCGCCGCGACCATCCGCAGAATGATAACCCCAACAACGGCCACAGAAATTGGAACCAATGGCCTGGCGCTGGAGGCGACAACGTCGACGGGCACAGTGACAACCACGACCACGACGACACTGGACATAAACACATTTTGGGAATCAAGATGCCCCGTGGTAATGGTAGAGGGGTAGGAGGTACGTTGCTCAACGTTGAATAGACACGTAAAGACGGCATAACGCCCGTGCGACGTTGTAACCGCGTCTGTGCAACGTTGATAACATATAGCATGTTACTTGCTTATTTACAGGACTGTAAATAACTGACTGTGTTAACCGAGCAAATTAACCATTTATTTACTTTTCACCGATAGTTTAAGTTTTATGCCCAATGGAATCTGTTTAGTCGGAAAATCGAAACTGGTTAATCTCTAGCATTGACGTATTATAGTATATCGTCTTTATATACAATGACAAAAGTGGCTGCGACATGATCAGAGTAGCGGAATGTAATTGGGCTTTAAACAACGAATTCAAATTTACTTCAATTTTGTGTTCATTAAAGTCGTTAAGGTGAAATGTATGGTTCCTTTAATTCGGCATTAAACATGTATACTACAGCAGTTTGAATGGGAACGAAAACTTTCTGTTAGTTTTGCTAAAAACACCTTAAAACGTCATCAAGCTTCCTTGAACGTTTTTACATGTTATGTACACAATGAGAATTTTAATCAATCTATATTGGTCTCTATCCTCTATTATTGTACAGTAAACTACGTTTATAACGAACACGCTTATAACGAACTGACCGATATAACGAACTTATTTTTTAGTCCCGGCCATTTGTTGTAATGATGTTGTGCATATGCTTATAACGAACTACGGTTATTACGGACTACAATTAGTGGTCTGTTTGAGTTCGCTATAACCGTAGTTTACTGTATTAAGCTTCAGTTGCCTGTAGATGAGTTTGAGCAGAGTTTCTTTTCCCTTCGAGAATGAATACATTTTAATAAAAAAATGTTTTCACTTTGGGTGTTTAACTATATTCCGTTTGAGTCCGTTGTTTGAAAAAAACAAAATGTTATGCTTTGTACCAGAAACCCCCCATTCCTTACCAAAGTGTGCCCAAACCTTCATATCTCCTACAGAAATAAGACCTCAATCCACGATGGTGCTCCCATAGCGACACCACCATGTTGTTTAAGGTAAACTTACGATAGCGCTGTGTGTCGTTGCCTGCTTTAACAATTCTGCCTTAAGTGTTACGAAACTAGACAAATGATGGTTAGGGTAATGATGGAATATCAATGTTGTCAATCAGATCAACACGCAATAACATATTGACGCTTCCTACCTCACCTCGGACATTTCTCCAACAAGAGAAACAGACATACACTTAAAACACTTACTCGTTCGCTTAGAGGCTATTTTATATTCACGTGGCTGAAACGAGATCCTTCTGTCCCACAAATCATGCTCAAACAATGGAAAAAACAAAGTTTAGAGATTGGGCCTGGCTGCATCTGATGAACAAACGAAGTTTGGAGGCGGGGCCTTGCAGCACCTGATGCATGGACTAAGTGTGGACGCGAGGGTCCGCTGCATCTGATGATCAATTTATATGTAGAAGTTGAGGCTTTGGTGTATCTGATGAAGAACTAGGCTTGGACGTGGGATTCTGCTGTCCTGATGAACGAATGTGTCTTGGGTTGTTATACCATATTATTCAGTTTGCCAGACTGAGCATGAACAACTATTTCACTCTGAATACAGGTCTGTGTGTTCGTCATGAAGTAAAATATGTAAAGAATTGTTTTATTAAAATTATAAAAATTAAGATTGCTACTCAAGATGGGTCACTAGGGAACTCCAACTACAAGGCTATGGACATGTACTTAACGAGAGTCTCCAACACCAAACAAACCTATATCGTCCCTGTCATATCAGAGTAACCCACACGATTCTCACATCTCTGCTGTTTAATGCACTCGCATCGTTTTGGAATCAATATGAAGGTAATTTAACCAGCTGATTAATTATTAATGCGATATATTATTTTTCATTTTAATAACTTTCCAGTTGGGCATAAATATAAATAAAAGCGAAATAAAATCCTTTCTATATCCATAAGAAAGAGTCGACTGCACGTTTCCGAATACAGTATACTACGGTTATAACGAACTCAAAAGGACCACTAATTGTAGTTCGTAATAACCGTTGTTCGTTATAAGCATATGTGCAACATAATTACAACAAATGGCCGGGACTAAAAATAAGTTCGTTATATCGGTCAGTTCGTTATAAGCGTGTTCGTTATAAACGTAGTTTACTGTATATCATAAGCATAAGCCTCATACCAGGTGTTCATAAAAAGGTGTGTGTATCCTGCCACACCCATGGCACAAGACATGTTTGTTTATGTTTCTTTGTTAAAGTTAGGCATCTTAAAATATAATGAAGTTCTAATCTCTCTGAAATGTGTAAAACATAAGAAAGGTCTGGGCCCTGGTAAACTTTCTCCCTAATTTCTGAAGTTCTTTTAGATTGTCTCAGGAAACGAACTTATCCGCTTTTTAAATCAAGTTTATGTGGATAGCGAATGACCAATAACTAAAAAACTGGGGCCAATTACATGTATTATATACTTCAGTGTGAAAGACTGGGTTTTCCGAAGTTGATAAAAAGTGACGTTTTCCTTGCAATGAACATAACAACTGATATTTCACTGACGTGGAGAATAACACTTGATATATCACTGCCTTGAACATGAAGCTTTAAGGCAACCGTCTTACAAGTGTTACTTCCACGCAAATTGTCTCCCCTTTATCGTAAGTGTCTAGCCCTTATTTACAAACTGTTGACTTTCTTTTTACGTTAGTTCCACATTGACATGGCAAAATGGATGACAGATGGTTATTTTTGGAGTTAATATCGCTTCTTGACGTTTGTTATTCTCTTGAAATGTTTCGTTATAAACTGACAATTTCTCATTTAACCCGTCAATCGAGACTCTTCGTTTCGCAAGGCGCTATTTTTGTTACTCGACCAGCGTGTATTCTTTCGCTTCCAACAGCGGTCTCGGAAATTTCAATAATATTTTTGTTGAAGTTGATTTTGCATATACTCATATCCAATTGTACGATAAAGAATTTTATTGACCTCAAATATTTTTTGTACTTTTGTTTATATTATGATTTAATTTTCACAACCTCACAAAAAGTATATAATAAATAGGATATTCCACGTGTCACGTGAAATATCATGTGTCTCTCATCTCTTTTAACCCATCATGAGATTCCCTCGAGACATGAAATACATTCGATGCATTGTAATAAGCCGAAAAGAATTTTTTTTATTGGCAACCTATCTCACTACTGTCAGTCGTTCACAAGCATCATTCATTATTTCTCGTTAGATTAAAACTGGATGTTAATAAACGAGGATCAGAAAGGTTGTATATTCGGTAGATATTTTGGCGATAACGAGACTAACTTTTGAGTTAATTGAATATACCGATACATACTAAATTCCAGGACTTCTACTATTGGTTGACTTTGAAAAAAGCCTTGATACAGTTGACTGGACAGTTATTAACAAAACAGTCAGCTTTTTTTAACTTTGGAAATCTATCAGACAGTAGATAAATGTGCTCCACAAAGGAATCCAATCACGTGCCTAGGTAAATGGCTTCGGCTCAAACGCGTTTCACATTTCAAGAGTTTGTAGCCAGGGCGGCCCACTCTCCCCTTATATATTCATACTATGTGCGGAAATATTATGATAAGGAATAATGCTTACATAAAAGGAATAAACATCGGCAATATAGAACTATATCTTAAATCGGTTTGTTGACGGTTTGTAGCATATGTTTGTAGACGGTTTGTAGTATATATTTGCGTTGTAAGCTCAACCAAAACGATATGTTCCCTGAATACTATTGGCCTAAAAAGGCTCAATATATAAAGCGGAGTGGCACATATGTATGTGACGATTTCTGTCAACATTTGTCTACGCAGGTCAGTACTGAAAACAGGTGTGGGTTATTTCTGCTTGAACTACGTAAAAGTTGATGTATGCACATGGTTTATGGCAGGACCCAATGTGATAAAGATAGACGTTTCACATATGTTAGTAACAAGGTGAGGTGAAATCTCATTAAAATCAGATCTTAGTTCTCGCTATCGCTAAACAAAGATCTGAGGACATCCCATAACGGGTCACGTCAGAACGACCTTTCATCCGACCAATCACTGAGATACCATGCCGCTGTTTAACATGAATACCCCACTCAGACACAGTATACTGACTCCGAGACGACCAGGCCTTGTTTTGGCCCCTTAATGCCGAGTACCAGACAGGGTAACAACAAGTACCATATTTTTACCTCTTATGGTATGACGCGGTCGGGGATCGAACCCCGGACCTTCCGCTCTCCGGGAGTACCACTAGACCATGTAGGCGGTCGTTTAGTAACAAGTGTACTAGCTTAGTGGGCTACTCTATTGCGTCATGATCCAAACTATCATAAGTCGTACTGGTCATTCCAGATCGGAGTCAGATCATCTAGAGTTTCGTGTGTTCTAGAGTACCCATACAGTTTCAACAAAGCGTCGCATCACACACAGATTGAACCACGTACTCAATAACGTCATGTACTTGGGTATAAATTATTTGACTTTGGTAAAGATGGAGATCTTATACTGCATATTTCAATAGTGAATATTTTTCTTGATGTTGAATACAGGATTGGTAATGCAGCGACTGCAGAAATTGTCAACTTACTTTATTATACTGGTGATCAAGTCCGTGAAGGGAATAGATTTACATAGTAGATAAAGACAATCTACTTGGTTTGACTCTGACTGTTCAGTGCTAAAAGAATGACATATACGCGCCTTAAAGTTCCAAGAAAGCAGCTCAGAAGAAAATTTGGAAAGTATATTGAAGCAAAGAGAAGAAAAATGAAAAGAAAATTGAATTTAAAATATCTGTCGTGCAGGAAGGTAAATGTGTAGTCAAGGCAAGCGACTGTAAATGTTTTGGAGAAAGACAAAATCCTCACTTCTGTTAGTGTTAACAACATTGTGTCAAGTCCACCTACTTTTATAATAATTATGTTAAATATCAAGGATATACAAAGTGTTTTTTTAAATAAAATGTCAAAAACTTTATTGTTAAATGTGATCACGATAACTATGAGTTTTGGAATACTAACAATACAGTTATGTTATCCGAAACCATTACTGATGATGAAACGAGGGCAGCTATTAAAAGCTTGAATTGCGGTAAAGCACCTGAAATGTGTTATGAAAATGGTACCAATGTTGTACTTTATGTCTGAATCTACTTTTTAATTCTATATTTCATTGTGGTGAATTTCCAGAATAGTGGAATAAAGGAATGATTGTCCCGCTTTGTCAACGGGATAATGCGTGAAATCCTGACAATTGCAGAGGATTTTCGCTTTTAAATGTCACTGGTAAAGTTTATATTCTATTCTAGAACTGAGGACACTAAAATAGATTGAAATTAACAATATCATATATGAATATATAAAATTTCAAATCAAGTGAATAATCAGTTTCTATTATCTGTAACAGGTAGTAATCTTATCACCAATGTGCACATCTGTATTCTTTAAGTAATTATAGGGGCGGTCGTATAGCCTAGCGGTTAAAGCGTTCGCTCGTCACGCCGAAGACCCGGGTTCGATTCCCGACATGGGTACAATGTGTGAAGCCCATTTCTGGTGTTCCCCGCTGAGATATTGCTGGAATATTGCTAAAAGCCGCGTAAAACCACACTCACTCACTCAATCACTCATTAAGTAATTATAGCTTATGACTCCGCCGTCATCAAATAACCATAAACATTTCATTTCTCGTAGAAAGAACTTGCTTAACGATTTTAAATGTTTATTAGTTGAAATTGATTTCACCTCTGTCTTCACTGATGCTACAGCTTTCTACAAGGCGATATACTGTTGTAATGTATAAAATAATTTAGGCATCATAATTATATTAGCATTTCACCTATGTTGTAAACCTCTAAGACCTGTATCATATCGGGCTTTCCTACCACATAACTGAAATACTGTTCAAAGCCGTGTTAACATAAACTCACTCACTCACATGTATTAATAATTTATTGATCTCGTCTTCCAGCTTCATGTGGTGGTCAGCGTTACGCCGCAAGGACCCATATCTGCTGCGGGGGCACAGTAAAGCGCCGCCAGGGCATGCGCCCTGCCTGCTGTGGGCGACAGGTGTTTGACTTTGTGTTTGACCTGTGCTGTGACGGCAGAATTACCAAGAGGACAGTCGCCAGGCCATTCTGCTAGACAAACTCGCTTTCAATTCTATCTGGCTTCTTGATTTCCAGCAAATATGCATCAAACATAGATGCCTTTAAAAGAAATCCATTTAACAAATTATCAGATGGGCCTAGAATACCCTCTTTAGTGAAGCTTACGAAAAGCTAAAATGCTGTTGTACTGAGAAGCAGTATTGTATGTCTATGTCTTTAAATATGTGACTTTTTTTTAGCTAATCAGTACCATGTATTAATGTGTTTAAAACAAGCATCCAGTTTTGTCTGTCTCAAGCTCTCGCCAGCCTATGCGTGTTCGTTGTGTATCATATCGTTGCTGCTGGTAATATAAAGGACACTTTGTATTGATATACCCGGTTTATTCCACTCGAGAACTATATGCTACACAATAACGCATGCTATACAGTTATACATTTAACCAGATAGTATATAGTTTGTACAACATATAACTGACTGTTTACACCACCCTGTTAAGGCTTAACGCTTTCAACTGAATAAAAAACACGTAAACACTCAGAAAGGTATCGCTTGTTTTGTTCATTGTTTCAGGGCTGAGTAACACGAGAACATTGCGCATTGTCATTATCTGTTAAAACATTTACTGAAGGTTAAGTACTTTTTATTGAAAGTTGTTTTCTTCTTTAGAGTGCTTTCTGATGTTGACATTAAAATGTCAAAACTGAGAAATTAGAATTCTTCCCTGGCGGACTATGAGTCCGTGAGTAATGTTTCACGCTGGGGTTAGTGATATAATGACAGTATTGGGGGAACACTAGACTTGCACAAGTCTATAAGGCAATAGTTATAAGTTTAAATAATAATTTCTTGATTATGTTAATAATAAGAACAAGTTGTCCCTATAAGAGACTGGAGTTCTTACTGTCCACATATCTAGACTTGCCTATTCGGAGGATAGAATTACTACACATCCGTGCACATCCATGGACATATATTTCAGCACAGCCTTGGAGCAAGGCTAGGGGAACACCTCTATTGACACTTACATGGGAATAACCCATGTTGGGAATCGAACGACAATGCTTTAACCTTAGGCTGCGCCATTATCACTAAATATAACTACTTTTTTAAATTTCAATGCTCACATTTCAAACTTAAGAGAAATTCTCGAGATTTTATTCCGAAATTTCTTTTATTGATATCATGTTGTTTTGTGGCTAAACGACGCTTTAAACAATATTTGTGTTACATCACGGCATGTTAGCTTAATGTGGAAGGAAAGCGCGAAGTGATGCAGGTCATCGACGTTTACAACTTTGTGAAACCCACGAGCACGGGAATGGTGCCGAAACCAAGCTGTGATTGTAATAAACATAAATAAAATTACGTCATTCGAATTTGTATATCAAATGCTGATTGAAATGGGCCATCATATTCTCATCAAACTACAATCAGTCACACACTTAGACATGTAATTACACATATGAATCACATACGCACGCGCGTAGCCGAAAAACCCGTTGATACTTAATTGTATAATTAGTTATCCAATATTACTCAACAGAAAAATGTTCAGCATAATTTACATCCAAGGATAATGAGTCATGTTCCTTGGGAGGATTGTGGCAGTGATTGAATCACTTTAGCTCCTTACTAATACCCTAATATACATCCTATTCACAACACTCATTACCAATTAAGAAACCCCATCACCATGACGGAAGCTATCTCTGACGAAACCTTCAGAAGGTCTAGCTGAATCGGGAATGTGAGAAAGATATATAACTGCTGTAAACCAGGTAATTTGACATTACCGGGAGAGGGGCGAGAGTCTTGGCGAGTGCGTTGAGTCTTCCTTGACATCCATTTGTCACTGTGTCATCCCATTAAATCACTGAAGCGCATCCGGTAGGGTTAGCCCTGCTACCGTGTCGCTTGCCGTTACTCTGTACCGTGGTTTCAGTGGATACTTACCTTGGAAAGGACATTCACAACACTTGACAAACACTGGGCTTCCATACTGAGATATACCAAATAATGTAAGTATATATATATATGTGTCATTCAATTACCTGATGTATGTTTTATTGAAATGATTAGGGTTCCTCTGAAATCCTCGTTTCGTTGTCCCGGGTCGAGAGCGATAGAAGGGGATAACGGTATATGTGTGACCATATTCAAACAGGTTGTTAATCAACTCGACTGATGAGTGTTGTTGTCTTTTAATCGTGTAATACAACATCCATCACAACACGCTATATGGATACGCAACACATGCAGACACGAGCAATAGGTACTTGGTGAGGTGAGGTGAGGTGATATGGGGTTTAACGTCGCGTCCAAGATTATTGCACTTATATAGCGACGTGCATGCACGTGTGTGTGTGTGTGTGTGTGTGTGTGTGTGTGTGTGTGTGTGTGTGTGTGTGGCTGTTTGCACTAGTCCGGACTGATGCCGATTTATAGTGCTAGCTCACTGAGATACCATACCGCAGTTTAACATGAATACCCCACTCAGACACAGTATACTGACTCCGAGCCGACCAGTCCTTGTTTTAGCCCCTTAATGCCGAGCGCCAGACAGGGTAACAACAAGAACCATCTTTTAACGTCTTTTGGTATGACGGGGTCGGGGATCGAACCACGGACCTTCCGCTCTCCGGGCGGACGCTCTACCACTAGAACACGGAGGCGGTCATAGGTACTTGGTATATTCGAAGTATGTAGAGTAGAAAGGTGTCCGATTCTTGTCTTCCGGGATTCCATAACCGTGTATAGAGAAACGTCATTATGTAAAACTTGTTGTGAGTTCGTTTGAATTACAGCGACTTCGAGTTAATTCATCAAAGTCAGGGTGCAGTCAAGCTGGCCCGAATTCATGCTATGTTCCTAAAGTTAACGCTCTTAATACGAACAGATTCGCTTGACGCTCCATGATGTTGCGGCTGAACCATGCTCTACGTTAATGTTGCTGATGGCTTGTCATATGTGTATTACACTGTGCGTGCGTGTTTGAACGTCTGGGATTCTTGAAGGTGTGGACGTGTCCATGTGGTATAAATATCATGTACGCTAATTATTGTGCAATTAACAATTTTATGCACATGTATGCACGTGTTGGTGCCTGCATGTCTATGCTCGTGCATGCTTTCGTTAGTACATCTTTGTGTACATATGCGTGTATATGTGCCTGTGTGCACGTGCATGCTTATGCGAGTGTCGTCAGTCCATGTGTGTGTGTTTACATTGGTTTTGGATTAATATGACGGTATATATTAGGAAATAACATTGGAACACAAATGGCATGGTCATGCGGCGATAGTTAACAATTTTACAGCTTTAACTGAAAAAAACGTCTAATTTCCAGACAAAATCCCCGCAGCTGTTAATCAATACACATGAGGTATCTGTCGCTGTTACCATATAAAGGTGAAATATATATCGCTCTTAATACATGCACATGAGGTATTTTTCGCTGTTAATACATACACATGAAATATCTATCGCTCTTAATACATACACGTGAGATATTTTTTATCTGATAATACAAACACATAAGATATCTTTCGCTGTAAATACAGAAACATGAGGTATTTATCGCTCTTAATACATACACATGAGGTATCTATCGTCGTTTAACAATACACATGAGGTATCTTTCGCTGTTAATACATATACATGAGGTATCTATCGCTGTTAATACATACACATTAGGCATCTATCGCTGTTAATACATACACATGAGGTATCTATCGCTGTTAATACATACACATGAAATATCTATCGCTCTTAATACATACACATTAGGTATTTATCGCTGTTAATACATACACGTGAGATATTTTTATTTGATAATACATACACATGAGGTATCTATCGCTGTTAATACATACACATGAGGTATCTATAGCTCTTAATACATGCACATGAGGTATCTATCGCTCTTAATACATACACATGAGGTATCTATCGCTCTTAATACATACACATGAGGTATCTATCGTCGTTAAACAATACACATGAGGTATCTTTCGCCGTTAATACATATACATGAGGTATATATCGCTGTTAATACATACACATGAGGTATCTATCGCCGTTAAACAATACACATGAGGTATCTATCGCTGTTAATACACACACATAAGGTATCTTTCGCTCTTAATACATACACATGAGGTATCTATCGCTGTCAATACATACACATGAAATACCTTACGCTCTTAATACATACACATTAGGTATTTATCGCTGTTAATACATACACGTGAGATATTTTTATTTGATAATACATACACATGAGATATCTATCGCTGTTAAAACATACACATGAGGTATCTATCGCTCTTAATACATACACATGAGGTATCTATCGTCGTTAAACAATACACATGAGGTATCTTTCGCCGTTAATACATATACATGAGGTATTTATCGCTGATAATATATACACGTGAGATATTTTTATTTGATAATACATACACATGAGGTATCTATCGCTGTTTAAACATACACATGAGGTATCTATCGCCGTTAATACATACACATGAGGTATCTGTCTCTCTTAATACATGCACATGAGGTATCTATCGCTATTAATACATACACATGAGGTATCTGTCTCTCTTAATACATGCACATGAGGTATTTATGGCTATTAATACACATACGTGAGATACTTTTGGCTGATAATACATACACATGAGGTATCTATCGCTGTTCTACCAATTTTAGTACATCGCTGTATCTATCGCTGTTAATACATGCACATGAGGTATCTATCGTTCTTAATATATACACATGAGGTATCTATCGATGTTAAACAATTCCTATGAGGTATCTTTCGCTCTTAATACATACACATGGGGTATCTTTCGCTGTTAAACAATACCTATGAGGTATCTTTCGCTCTTAATACATACACATGGGGTATCTTTCGCTCTTAATACATACACATGAGGTATCTTTCGCTCTTAATACATACACATGAAATATCTATCGCTATTAATACATACACATGAGGTATCTATCGCTGTTAATACATACACGTGAGATATTTTTATTTAATAATACATACACATGAGGTATCTATCGCTGTTAATCAATACACACGAGGTATCTATCGCCGTTAATACATACACATGAGGTATCTAAAGCTCTTAATACATGCACATGAGGTATTTATCGCTTTTTATACATATACGTGAGATATGTTTGGCTGATAATACATACACATGAGGTATCTATCGCTGTTAAACAATACACATGAGGTATCTATCGCTGTTAATACATACACATGAGGTATTTATCGCTATTAATATATACATGTGAGATATGTTTTGCTGATAATACATACACATGAGGTATCTTTCGCTGATAATACATACACATGAGGTATCTATCACTGTTAGACAATACACATGAGATATCTATCGCTGTTAATACATACACATGAGGTATCTTTCGTTGTTAATACATACACATGAGGTATCAATCACTCTTAATACATACACATGAGGTATCTGTCGCTGTTAAACATTACACATAAGGTATCTTTCGCTGTTAAACATTACACATAAGGTATCTATCGCTATCAATATATACACGTGAGATATGTTTGGATGATAATACATACACATGAGGCTATCTTTCGCTGTTAATACATACACATGAGGTATCTTTCGCTGTTAATACATACACGTGAGGTATTTATCGCTATTAATACATAAACGTGAGATATTTGTAGCTGATAATACATACACATGAGGTATCTTTCGCTGTTAATACATACACATGAGGTATCTATCGCTGTTAATACATACACATGAGGTATCTGTCGCTGTTAATACATACACGTGAGGTATTTATCGCTATTAATACATATACGTGAGATATTTGTAGCTGATAATACATACACATGAGGTATCTTTCGTTGTTAATACATACACATGAGGTATCAATCACTCTTAATACATACACTTGAGGTATCTGTCGCTGTTAAACATTACACATAAGGTATCTTTCGCTGTTAAACATTACACATAAGGTATCTATCGCTATTAATATATACACGTGAGATATGTTTGGATAATAATGCATACACATGAGGTATCTATCGCTGTTAGACAAAACACATGAGGTATTTATCGCTATTAATACATACACGTGAGATATGTTTAGCTGATAATACATACACATGAGGTATCTATCGCTGTCAATACATACACATGAGGTATCTATCGCTCTTAATACATACACATGAGGTATCTATCGCTGTTAAGCAATACACATGAGGTATCTTTCGTTGTTAATACATACACATGAGGTATCAATAACTCTTAATACATACACATGAGGTATCTGTCGCTGTTAAACATTACACATAAGGTATCTTTCGCTGTTAATACATACACATGAGGTATCTATCTCTGTTAATACAGGGGCGGTCGGGTAGCCTAGTGGTTAAAGCATTCGATCGTCACGCCGAAGACCCGGGTTCGATTCCCGACATGGGTACAATGTGTGAAGCCCATTTCTGGTGTCCCCCGCCGTGATATTGCTGGAATATTGCTAAAAGCGGCGTAAAACCATACTCACTCACTCACTCACTCTGTTAATACATACACATGAGGTATCTATCGCTGTTAATACATACAAGTGAGGTATCCATCGCTGTTAATACATACACATGAGGTATCTATCGCTGTTAATACATACACGTGAGGTATTTATCGCTGTTCATACATACACCTGAGGTATTGATCGCTATTAATACATAAACGTGAGATATGCTTAGCTGATAATACATACACATGAGGTATCTATCGCTGTCAATACATACACATGAGGCATCTATCGCTCTTAATACATACACATGAGGTATCTATCGCTGTTAAGCAATACACATGAGGTATCTTTCGTTGTTAATACATACACATGAGGTGTCAATCACTCTTGATACATACACGTGAGGTATCTTTCGCTGTTAACACATACACGTAAGATAACCATCTTTCAGTTAATACACACACGCGTGACA